AAAGATGAAAATATTTGTTCAAATCTATTTTTTTCTATTTTAACCACTCGAACAAGTTTGAAATCTCATTCTGTACTTACATAATACATAATTTGCCTAATATGTACCAATTATACTACAACTTTGACTCTCGTAACCAAATACAAAGTTAAAAACCAATGTAAGCTTAAAATACATTACTTCACACCAAATACAATTCTAATAATAATTACATTCCAACAAAATAAGAATCAAACTAATAATAGATTTTGTTGTCTAAATTCTTATGTTCTTCACACAACTGCTTCAAAAAGTTACAAAAATTTGGAGAAATAATAACCTATTCTCCTCGTGCTTGATTCTCCAGAAAAATCGTAAAACTTTTTTATGAAAATAAACTTCATTTCAATATCTACCTCTCCTAAACAGGAATACCTTATTTTTAACAACAGCAGAAACTCTTTAGAACCCCGGTGCTAATTAAATAATTATCGTTTGATTGTAATATTTTAAAAAAGACAGTTCAATGAACTAAAGATAGTGTGATACAAAAAATATATAAAAAAAGATAAAATTAAAGAACAAGACAGAGATAGCCAATGAATAAAAAAGACAAAGATAGTGTGATACATAATATCATAAAATTTTGATATATTTTTTTATACATTAGAAAATCGAAATTGTCGTGAAAGACAGAGAAATGTGGCGAAATGATTCTGAATTTGGTTGAGACGTTGTTTCAGTTCCATAAAACCACGAAATTAATATTAATTAAGGAGAATTAATTAATACGAATATCCGTATTAGTTACGAAAAGGATAATTGAAGAGTCGGGTGTGTAAATTAGTTGGCCACTCACTGACTCATAACTTATCCATATATTTATTCCTTAATAACTGGTCTCTTTCACAAGTCATTCTCATCACTACCCATTCTTTTCAACTTTCAATAATTAGTTACATTTTCAGCGATAATTACGTGAAAAAGAGTATAAAATAATACTGTGCGAAAACAACACTCCTCTAACAATGCAATACCTGACAAATCAAGCTACAATCATTTTCAACAAAAGGAAAATAATAGAAAATGAAGATGCTGTGTTCTATACACCAGAGGAGAAGAAAAAATAAAACAAGTGGTTGCTGGCAATTTGGAATTATTGTCTCATCTCATCTCCTGCATTTCATATATAATTTCTTTTGGACCCACATTTTTTGGATTCACTACCCATCCATTCTTTTCAAATGCATATCTTCTCACACCCACATTCACTACAAACATTGTGTTTATACAATCAATTTCGTGAACAGTGATTTTAAGTTCGTTGACATGATATTGTTTAGGTAAATTTTGTCATGGATTTATCTTTAAAATTTATTTGAGAAAATTAAAAAAATATATAATCTACTTTTAGTCTCCATTTCTTTACATTATTAAATGTATTGAAACATTTTGTTTATATGTCATGTATCGTAATTGCTAAAAACATAATTCTGGAGGTTATAATAAATCTGCAGTTTTCGGAATCAACATATTATAACGTACATTGTTTAGTACGTCATAATATTTTTTTTTTAATTATTATAATTGACACCCAATATCAGGAACGATGCAGATTTAAATGGAGTTCTTTTTTATTTTCTTAATTATTTTCAAGCACTTTTTTGAAAATATTACGTATAAAAGTAACGTATTAAACTGTGGCATCCATGATAAGGCAAAAAGAAAAGTTACCATCAGCAGAGTGCAGATTTGAACTTGCACTCAATGAACAGTGAAATATGTTTTCGAGAGTTGAAAACAGATTCAAAATGCATCCGGTTGTTATTATTAACATGCTGCTATAGAACTGAAATCACAAACATATTTNATCAACTACTATGATTGTGATTATTGTTTATGTTTGAAATCAGTTATATTAGGGAAAGATATTTACTAACAATTACTTTTTGTATTCTAATCTTTAATTTTTAACATGTCGAAAAGTGATAAAAAATTGTACCGCCAGAAGATATTTCTATGATCAAGTCAGTCAAATACGTCAAATAATAATAAATATTGTAATAATAGACATAATTAATATTTCTCTTTATAATGTTTTATTTACATTATTAATATTCCAACACTTCACATTGTTTCAATTATATGTTTACATATGCATATAAAATTCAATTCCAAATATCCAATAACAAAATTATAAAATCAAAACATTTTAGAAAAATAAACTACATAAAAATGTAACAGTATAAATATAGGTGATAAAAGTGTTTAAGTTTAACTATAAATGCAATGTTATTTAGTAATAAATTACATACAATTATAGCAAAAATCACTTAAGAAGGGTAAGTTATTAAAATTTCAAATAAATATAAATGCATAAGTAACTCAACCTTTTTTGAAAAAAAAAATCAAAATATGTTCTGGTACATTCATTCTTACATTGTTTAAAAGTCGAGGTCAATCGTAATTTAAATACTCATTTCTTATTTCACCATTTGAGGCACCTTTAAAGGATAAAATTGTGACGAAGTCTTCAAAGCAGATAATACTTCAGATGTAGTGATTGACCCTAATGATGCCTTGACGAACTTGGGATCAAAACATTGACGTCGTCTGTAGGAACGAAAACTCTCTTTACCCTCAAATGGGAGCTTGTCTCGGTACACCAATAGTCTGACATCACTTAGGAGTCGAGGTCAAACGCAATTTTAAATATCCCTTCCTCATTTCGTCCTCTAAGACAACTTTTAAAGACAAAACCGTAACTGAGCTTCAATAAAGCAGACAATACCTTGGATGCAATGATTGATCCTAATAATATTTTAACGAACTTGAATCAAAACAAAAGTTATATGATATAATACAAACAATTATTATTAAACATATGAATATCTTTTAACTAAGTTTAAATATGTTTTAGAAAGTAAGAAAATACCATTTAAATGAGATAATCTCACTTAATTGATATTTTCAAACAAAAACATAATTTTTCTTAGTCCTTTCTCATTAAGCTATCATAGTTATAAGACTCATTGGTTAGCATAATAACACTAGAACATTGGAGTTTAATCCCTTGGTCGATGTAGGTCTTAATGGAAAAAGAATGAGTATAACCTTTCTAGCTTAACTTGTAAACTACAACTTGAATAAAAAAATGTTTAAGCTTGAGTTTTCAACCAACTTGTAAACTACAACTTGAATAAAAAAATGTTTAAGCTTGAGTTTTCAACCAAATACTCAAGTAAAAATAGTATGCACGGATTCTCAATATTGTTCAAGTACATATATTGATCCTTAAATAAGATACGCAGAAAGAGAAAAATGTGCCAAAGATGAAAATATTTGTTCAAATCTATTTTTTTCTATTTTAACCACTCGAACAAGTTTGAAATCTCATTCTGTACTTACATAATACATAATTTGCCTAATATGTACCAATTATACTACAACTTTGACTCTCGTAACCAAATACAAAGTTAAAAACCAATGTAAGCTTAAAATACATTACTTCACACCAAATACAATTCTAATAATAATTACATTCCAACAAAATAAGAATCAAACTAATAATAGATTTTGTTGTCTAAATTCTTATGTTCTTCACACAACTGCTTCAAAAAGTTACAAAAATTTGGAGAAATAATAACCTATTCTCCTCGTGCTTGATTCTCCAGAAAAATCGTAAAACTTTTTTATGAAAATAAACTTCATTTCAATATCTACCTCTCCTAAACAGGAATACCTTATTTTTAACAACAGCAGAAACTCTTTAGAACCCCGGTGCTAATTAAATAATTATCGTTTGATTGTAATATTTTAAAAAAGACAGTTCAATGAACTAAAGATAGTGTGATACAAAAAATATATAAAAAAAGATAAAATTAAAGAACAAGACAGAGATAGCCAATGAATAAAAAAGACAAAGATAGTGTGATACATAATATCATAAAATTTTGATATATTTTTTTATACATTAGAAAATCGAAATTGTCGTGAAAGACAGAGAAATGTGGCGAAATGATTCTGAATTTGGTTGAGACGTTGTTTCAGTTCCATAAAACCACGAAATTAATATTAATTAAGGAGAATTAATTAATACGAATATCCGTATTAGTTACGAAAAGGATAATTGAAGAGTCGGGTGTGTAAATTAGTTGGCCACTCACTGACTCATAACTTATCCATATATTTATTCCTTAATAACTGGTCTCTTTCACAAGTCATTCTCATCACTACCCATTCTTTTCAACTTTCAATAATTAGTTACATTTTCAGCGATAATTACGTGAAAAAGAGTATAAAATAATACTGTGCGAAAACAACACTCCTCTAACAATGCAATACCTGACAAATCAAGCTACAATCATTTTCAACAAAAGGAAAATAATAGAAAATGAAGATGCTGTGTTCTATACACCAGAGGAGAAGAAAAAATAAAACAAGTGGTTGCTGGCAATTTGGAATTATTGTCTCATCTCATCTCCTGCATTTCATATATAATTTCTTTTGGACCCACATTTTTTGGATTCACTACCCATCCATTCTTTTCAAATGCATATCTTCTCACACCCACATTCACTACAAACATTGTGTTTATACAATCAATTTCGTGAACAGTGATTTTAAGTTCGTTGACATGATATTTTTAGGTAAATTTTGTCATGGATTTATCTTTAAAATTTATTTGAGAAAATTAAAAAAATATATAATCTACTTTTAGTCTCCATTTCTTTACATTATTAAATGTATTGAAACATTTTGTTTATATGTCATGTATCGTAATTACTAAAAACATAATTCTGGAGGTTATAATAAATCTGCAGTTTTCGGAATCAACATATTATAACGTACATTGTTTAGTACGTCATAATATTTTTTTTTTAAATTATTATAATTGACACCCAATATCAGGAACGATGCAGATTTAAATGGAGTTCTTTTTTATTTTCTTAATTATTTTCAAGCACTTTTTTGAAAATATTACGTATAAAAGTAACGTATTAAACTGTGGCATCCATGATAAGGCAAAAAGAAAAGTTACCATCAGCAGAGTGCAGATTTGAACTTGCACTCAATGAACAGTGAAATATGTTTTCGAGAGTTGAAAACAGATTCAAAATGCATCCGGTTGTTATTATTAACATGCTGCTATAGAACTGAAATCACAAACATATTTACAAACACTCAGGCTTATTACTTAATCCAAATTAGCTTCAGTGCTCTTCAGAGATTTTCACCATCATCATCATCTAATAACCCCTTGTATGAAAGCATTCAAATGCTCAAACTCTTGACGGTGCTCGCGCACCCCAACATGAACCACATCACCAATGGACACCATTCCAACCATCCCCTTCTCATCAATCACAGGAATGTGCCCGATTCTGTTATCTGTAAGAAAATGCAAATAAGATCTCAAACATGATTTACAAGCTTGTGTAATCATAAACTTATATGATATCTTTCCCAATGAACAATAATATATACATGTAGTAACAATGTGAATTTCGGTCTTGTTATAATAATCAATTACAAACTGTGATTATAATAATGACCATCTCAGAAGTCAAACCAAGGATGATTTTTTTTATTAGTTGACAGCTTAAAACAATGTTTCAAAACTAAACTAAGTTGAAATACACAATGCATTTAAAATCAAAGCTGAAATGTCTACTTTCTATTTCAAAACTAAACTTTATTCTTTAAAAGGACTAGCATTCTACAAAAATTATCTGCATGACCATTAATGGATATGAATCTTTTAATGAAACTTGTACTTATCTGCATCACTGGGATAATTATTGCGGAATCGTATTCTATGCAATGCATGACCATTAATGGATATGAATCACTAACATTTTAAAGCAAATTATTCATCGCAACTTCCTCTGTTCCAAACATTAAGCTAAATGCAAATTACCATTTTGGAGTTTTCAGAAGAGAATCAAGACAAACCAGATGATATATATGTAGATAAGTACAAGTTATTACAGCTGGACTTTTCATGCATGTTCCCTTTTCTGCATATACAGTTCTTAGATCGAGTCACAACAGTTATCTAATTTCTCATTATTTTCAATTTGAACATGTTCTTAATTTATGACTTGATCATTGCCTTTGGTAGATATATCAATACTAAATAAAATACTTACAAAATCTCCAATTCAGACAGTGATCCAATATCTCCAGAAAGCTGACCACCCAAACCAGTACTTGCCAGTGTTCTGAAATAAATAAAATTATTCAGTTCCTTTTAAATACCCATTCATCACTCACGCACGTACCAGCTTTAAACCACTCCTCTTAATATACTTTACATCACCACCTATCCAACTAAACACAAGGTTCTATGGTGAATTGAAAGTCACATCAATAATACAAGTCCATGGCAGTTCATATCAGAATTTACAAATTTATAATGATATAACAGAGCATCTAATAAAAATTTCCAGAATCCAATATCTTATACATAAGTTTAAATTCTGAAATGGATATAAGCACTGACTTACCTTCACACAAGTGTTTTCAGCTCATTAGGGTATAAAGAGGCCTTTCTAGACTAGCTAAGACACCTTAATATCATCCCTATGTCAACTATCCCTCCGAAAATTATATAATGTAGCAACTGAACTATAAAAATCATACCCTTTAACAACAAGACTAGAAAATATAAGCATTATAATACTGAGAACTCTACTCTTCAAGCACCAATTATACCTCACAAACCAAGAAACTATTAAACACACAAATTTTTATGTTACAAAAAAACAGATAACAGCATACAAAATTTATAACAGAGAAAAACAAAATTTTTATATTACTCTCACACAAAATGGTTTGAGGATTCATGGTAATTGGCCACACAGCTGAGATATCCACGAAACTCCCTTCGGAATCCACCAACGCTTGAACCATCAAGCACCCATTTTCACCCAAAAACGAGTCGTCAATTCTGAACCTAGCCAGCCCTAAAACCCTGAAACAATTGTGGAGAGAACTCAAGCTGAAACTCACCACAACCCTCTCAGAACAGGTGCGGAGCTGGAAGAGGTGTCCCATGTTGTCGACGAATCCCTTGCAGACGACAAAGAAGGTGTGGCAGGTCTCCGACGACGCGATACAGTGCTTGTGGTGGTGCCATCACCACTCCACACCCAAACATGCTCGACAACGACGACATCCTTCTCTCTCTTCTCCCTTCTCTTTTCTCTTCTATTGTTTCTCAAACACTCATCTCTCAAAACTCAGTTCAATTCGAGCGTTTGACACAACTAAACGCAAAACCTTAAACCCTAGAATATGCAAAGGCACCTGTAAACTAAAGAACAAAAGCAAATAACACAATCGACGCGCCGAGACATCAAAGAGAATGAAATGCATTGCATGAAACGAAAATGCAGACCAACAGAAACACGAAATCAAAGTACCTTATCGCTGTGAAAAACCAATCTCTCAGAAAGAGAGGGTTTCAAAGGAGAAAGAAATAAAGAGAGGAAGAGATGCGCCAGTTTTGGTGGTAGAGAGGGCTGTCGGAGGCGAGGTTGGGAGGGAGAGGAGCGGGATCCGCCAGCTGAGGCTCCTGCGAGAGGACGGCAAAGTGGATATGGTTTTGACGAGGGAAGAGAGTTTGGAGAAGAGAACAGAACGCGTGCGGAAGAAGATCGCCATTTGCGAAGCCATTAGTGGACTGGACTCTGAGAGAGAATTAGGGTTTGAGGACACTGAGAAAGATTACGACATTATGGGACTAAAATTATAGAGAGAAACGGGAAAATCAATTTAGAGAGATATTAAGACTGATATTTCAAAACCAGTTATAATATATTACTAAAATTTTTCACCCTTCTCATATTATAACAGTTATATGTGATATCATGAGTGATTTCTATAATTCTATTTCTAATACGTTTTGAAATTATTTACAAGTTTATCATCGCATTGCAAGATTGATTTCTAAAACTATGTTATAATATATACAGGTATGTTATAGAATGGTTTTTTTCCACTAGTGCATATTTGATTCCATAAATTTTAATGTTTTAAGTATGTTCATATCACATAGATTCATCATTCTTTTAACATTTCTTAGTAAAGAATTGTTAATGTAAAAACACAAATATAAAAGATTGATTTTTGTATAGGAAAAAGAATGGATCTACGAGATCCTAAATAAATTGACTTATTCGAATAAAAACCTTAATTTTTGGAAGATTTATCTTGTGTGGTATGCATGATTTCACCTTACAAAAACTCTAAATCATCATGTTCATCATGAATGATCCGTTTATCTCTAAATGAGCTTATTTAATAGGAAAATCCTAAATTATTGAACTTTTCAATACAATAAAATAGAGAGCCCCAAAGACACCATACTCTTAGAGCCCAAACCATATGATTGGAAAAAATCCTTCTTCAAACTCATTCATATCTTTTTTTAGTAAAAAAATAAGAAAAGATAGTTTCAAATAAATATAAAAAAATTATGTTTGTTGTATCATACCTAGGATAGACCGAACGGTCAGCATTCAGCACCGTTCGGTCCATCCACTCAAGGTCGTTGGGTTCATTCGCTACGATCCGTTGGGTCCATCCACTACGGTTAACCGGGTCAAAGATTGGGCTGCAACTAGGTCAGCGCTTAAGCTATTATTGGGCCAATAGTCCAGCAGGCGATAAAATCAAAGAATATCTAATTAAAGANAAATAAAATACTTACAAAATCTCCAATTCAGACAGTGATCCAATATCTCCAGAAAGCTGACCACCCAAACCAGTACTTGCCAGTGTTCTGAAATAAATAAAATTATTCAGTTCCTTTTAAATACCCATTCATCACTCACGCACGTACCAGCTTTAAACCACTTCTCTTAATATACTTTACATCACCACCTATCCAACTAAACACAAGGTTCTATGGTGAATTGAAAGTCACATCAATAATACAAGTCCATGGCAGTTCATATCAGAATTTACAAATTTATAATGATATAACAGAGCATCTAATAAAAATTTCCAGAATCCAATATCTTATACATAAGTTTAAATTCTGAAATGGATATAAGCACTTACTTACCTTCACACAAGTGTTTTCAGCTCATTAGGGTATAAAGAGGCCTTTCTAGACTAGCTAAGACACCTTAATATCATCCCAATGTCAACTATCCCTCCGAAAATTATATAATGTAGCAACTGAACTATAAAAATCATACCCTTTAACAACAAGACTAGAAAATATAAGCATTATAATACTGAGAACTCTACTCTTCAAGCACCAATTATACCTCACAAACCAAGAAACTATTAAACACACAAATTTTTATGTTACAAAAAAACAGATAACAGCATACAAAATTTATAACAGAGAAAAACAAAATTTTTATATTACTCTCACACAAAATGGTTTGAGGATTCATGGTAATTGGCCACACAGCTGAGATATCCACGAAACTCCCTTCGGAATCCACCAACGCTTGAACCATCAAGCACCCATTTTCACCCAAAAACGAGTCGTCAATTCTGAACCTAGCCAGCCCTAAAACCCTGAAACAATTGTGGAGAGAACTCAAGCTGAAACTCACCACAACCCTCTCAGAACAGGTGCGGAGCTGGAAGAGGTGTCCCATGTTGTCGACGAATCCCTTGCAGACGACAAAGAAGGTGTGGCAGGTCTCCGACGACGCGATACAGTGCTTGTGGTGGTGCCATCACCACTCCACACCCAAACATGCTCGACAACGACGACATCCTTCTCTCTCTTCTCCCTTCTCTTTTCTCTTCTATTGTTTCTCAAACACTCATCTCTCAAAACTCAGTTCAATTCGAGCGTTTGACACAACTAAACGCAAAACCTTAAACCCTAGAATATGCAAAGGCACCTGTAAACTAAAGAACAAAAGCAAATAACACAATCGACGCGCCGAGACATCAAAGAGAATGAAATGCATTGCATGAAACGAAAATGCAGACCAACAGAAACACGAAATCAAAGTACCTTATCGCTGTGAAAAACCAATCTCTCAGAAAGAGAGGGTTTCAAAGGAGAAAGAAATAAAGAGAGGAAGAGATGCGCCAGTTTTGGTGGTAGAGAGGGCTGTCGGAGGCGAGGTTGGGAGGGAGAGGAGCGGGATCCGCCAGCTGAGGCTCCTGCGAGAGGACGGCAAAGTGGATATGGTTTTGACGAGGGAAGAGAGTTTGGAGAAGAGAACAGAACGCGTGCGGAAGAAGATCGCCATTTGCGAAGCCATTAGTGGACTGGACTCTGAGAGAGAATTAGGGTTTGAGGACACTGAGAAAGATTACGACATTATGGGACTAAAATTATAGAGAGAAACGGGAAAATCAATTTAGAGAGATATTAAGACTGATATTTCAAAACCAGTTATAATATATTACTAAAATTTTTCACCCTTCTCATATTATAACAGTTATATGTGATATCATGAGTGATTTCTATAATTCTATTTCTAATACGTTTTGAAATTATTTACAAGTTTATCATCGCATTGCAAGATTGATTTCTAAAACTATGTTATAATATATACAGGTATGTTATAGAATGGTTTTTTTCCACTAGTGCATATTTGATTCCATAAATTTTAATGTTTTAAGTATGTTCATATCACATAGATTCATCATTCTTTTAACATTTCTTAGTAAAGAATTGTTAATGTAAAAACACAAATATAAAAGATTGATTTTTGTATAGGAAAAAGAATGGATCTACGAGATCCTAAATAAATTGACTTATTCGAATAAAAACCTTAATTTTTGGAAGATTTATCTCGTGTGGTATGCATGATTTCACCCTACAAAAACTCTAAATCATCATGTTCATCATGAATGATCCGTTTATCTCTAAATGAGCTTATTTAATAGGAAAATCCTAAATTATTGAACTTTTCAATACAATAAAATAGAGAGCCCCAAAGACACCATACTCTAAGAGCCCAAACCATATGATTGGAAAAAATCCTTCTTCAAACTCATTCATATCTTTTTTTAGTAAAAAAATAAGAAAAGATAGTTTCAAATAAATATAAAAAAATTATGTTTGTTGTATCATACCTAGGATAGACCGAACGGTCAGCATTCAGCACCGTTCGGTCCATCCACTCAAGGTCGTTGGGTTCATTCGCTACGATCCGTTGGGTCCATCCACTACGGTTAACCGGGTCAAAGATTGGGCTGCAACTAGGTCAGCGCTTAAGCTATTATTGGGCCAATAGTCCAGCAGGCGATAAAATCAAAGAATATCTAATTAAAGATATTGATAAGCAGGTTATAAACAACCAACCGGATTTTCAGGTAATCTGTTTATATCTTATTCTGTTTATATTTTATTGGGCTTATAGCAACTCAGGATCCATGAGGTAAATTATAAATACAAAGCCAGAGCCGAAAGTCAGGTACGTTCTATTCACGCTCAATTCATACTCCAATACGTTTCACTCACACTCAACCCATTCTCAAATACTCAAATATAAAATTACACGCCTAACTTGGGCGTCGGAGTGCCTTTTGCAGGTACCTCCTCCCTCGTCCAGAAGGAGACCGATCGGTCTACACCAACACCGATCGGGCAACAACAGTAGATTGAAGGTGACCGAGCGGTTCAGATTAAAGAAAGGAAGGCGATTCAGGCGTTCGGAAGCGAGAAAAACACGTCAACAGGTTAGTCTCTCGGTCTCGGATATATTTGCAGAAACATTTTGGCGCCCACCGTAGGGCCGAGAGCAGACAGAAGAAGCCCAGATGGTGACCACGAGGAGCATGGACGAGCAGCAGACCACCAGAGATTTGATAGCTCAATTGCAAGCACAACTGCAAGCATAGGTTCGAGCATAGCAGGAGATGCAACGGAAGCATGAAGAAGAGATTGCGACGCTAAGGGCCAAACGGATTCGTCAACAACAGTCCGAGCAACCCTCTGCGTCATCGGCCCAACGGGGTCATGACGGCGAAAATAATGAAACACATCCCAATCAAGACCGATCTCATTGTACCAATCCGAACGGTAACCCAAATGGCAATCCGAATGGTAACCCACATGGCCAAGCGCCCCCACCTTTGCAAACTGTTAGACTGACCGATCTACTACCTTTCACGACAACAATCATGCAGGCACCCATGCCAGAGAAAACTCCTCCCACATTTGACAAGTATGACTGCTCAATCGACCCAGATGATCACATGAGAGCATTCGTCAATGCAATGGCGTTTTACTCCAACAGTGACTCGGTCCTGTGCAGAGCCTTTTCACTATCGCTAAGGGGAGAAGCATTCACATGGTATAACACCCTTCCCCCAAACACACTGGATTGCTTTGCCACTGTACAAACCCTTTTTGAGCGTCAATATGCATCTAGTCGGATACAAGAGTTCACGTCCGCGGAGTTGGTAAATACCAAACAGGAAAAAGATGAATCTCCGAAAGCCTTCATGAAAAGGTACAACGAAACCACTCGGCGAGTCAGGAATATCAATCATACCTTCATCATCAACAACCTGCCTTCTTGCTTAAAAGCGTGATATTTTTCGGAAAATTTATACGCCAAACTCCCTAAAACCATGGATGAGCTCCAAGAGAGAGTGGCGGAGTTTATTCGTATTGAAGATATAAGGCAATCCAGAAAAAAGCAGCAGCAAGAAACCTCTGGGAAAATAAGAAAGAAGGAAAACGATCGTTCAATGGGGATCCTCCTCAAAAGGATCCTATGCATCTCCCCAGATTTAATCACTATACCACCCTCAATGCACCAAGGGCTAAGGTTCTCGAGGAAGCTCTCAATGTTGAACTTCTCACATTCCGAGAAAAGGTCACTCCCAATAGCTCTGATGCAAGGAAGATCTGCAATTTCCATCTGAACTGCGGCCATACTACGGAAGAATGCAATATACTGAAAGTTGAAATAGAAAGGCTTATCCGAGGAGGCCATCTACAGCAATTCGTAAGAAAAGAAAGAACCCAAACAAGAAGTCCTACCAGAGAAACCGGACGGTCCCATCAAAAGACCGAACAGGGACGTAGGCACAGCCGCAGCCGTAGCCGCAGTCTTAGTCGTGAACGTAACCGATCGGTTCGCAGGTACATCAATACCATTTCTAGAGGTTTTGCTGGAGGAGGAACATCATTGTCAGCAAGGAAAAGGCACCTGAGGAGACTCAAAACCGTTCACATGGTGGATAGAAAACCTCGATCTCTACCACCAATTACCTTCACTGATGAGGACTTCCATGCCCCTGACCCGAATCAAGATTATCCTATGGTCATTACAGCCGAGATATCTCGTAGTGTTATCAGCAAGGTGTTAATCGATCAAGGTAGCTCGGTCAACATCTTGTATTGGAAGACGTTCTTACAAATGAATTTGTCTGAATATGTCATATGTCCATTTAATGAGCAAATTTTGGGATTCACAGGAGAAAGAGTCGATACTCGAGGATACTTAGACTTGAGGACTCAGCTTGGAACGGACAGAGAAACAAAAGAATTCAGAATAAGATTCCTGTTAGTAAAAGCTCATACTCCATATAACGCTCTGCTGGGACGACCTTGTTTGAAGGCTTTCGGAGCTGTGGTCTCCACCCCACATTTAGCCTTGAAATTCCCGTAAGATAAGGGTACCATATGCATTGTACGGGCGAATCAACGGACAGCCCGATTATGCTATAATGCTAGCTTAAAAGTCACATCCTTCGTTCCCCCTCAAATGGACAGAGGAGCAGAAACAACTACTAGTTAAACTCGACATCTTGCTAAAATAACTTATTGGCTCAAAGGAAAAACTATCCCTAGACTAGGAAAAGAGACTCATATCAAATTTTACTTCAGTTAACCATTATTGTCACGTTTTATTAAAACATTTATTCTTTTCTCTTTAAAGTTGTTTTGTTGAAGTAAGTACGCTCAACCAATTTTTTGTTTAAACAAAGTTATCAAATATTCGACCACTTGGCATCTACTGTTCGGCTTTTCAGGGCCTCAAGTATTCAGGTATTTGGCCATCCGGCCTCTAACGCTCGACCACCCGGCCTCACATATGCTCGGTCATTCGGCCTCTAACGCTTGGTCATCCGACCTCACAGCTGCTCAGCCATCCGACCTCACAGGTACTCGGTCGTCCGGCCTCACAGACGCTCGGCCATTCGACCTCTAACGCTCAACCATCTAGCCTCACGTATGCTCGGTCATTCGGCCTCTAATGCTCGGCCATCTGACCTCACAAGTGCTTGGTTGTCCGGCCTCACAGATGCTCGGCCATTCGGCCTCTAACGCTCGACCATCCAGCCTCACAGGTGCTCAACCATCCGACCTCACAGATGCTCGGTCATTCGGCTTCTAACGCTCGGCCATCCCGCCTCACAGGTGCTCGGTCATCCGGCTTCACAAGTACTCAACCATCAGCTCTCACAGGTATTCAGCCACTCGGCCTCTGTCGTCCGTCCTCCATGGCGTCAAATGTTCAGGCATTCAGCCGCTCGACCTCACAAGTTTCGTCTACTAGGAGATTCTTTAGGAACTCTTGGGCCACGGACGGTCACTCAGATCTATTGGGAGATTCTCTAGGAACTCTTGGGCCACGAACGGTCACTCTCGTCTACTGGGAAGTTCTTCAGGAACTCCTGGGCCACGGACAGTCACTCACGTCTACTGGGAAGTTCTTCAGGAACTCTTAGGCCACGGACGGTCACTCTCATCTATTGGGAAGTTCTCGAGGAACTCCTGGGCCACGGGCGGTCACTCTCGTCTACTGGGAAGTTCTCTAGGAACTCCTAGGCCAAAAACAAAGAGTTGAGGAACAGTCTCTCTCATTCGAGCATCTTTAACCGAGCGGTCTCCCCTGCTTGGCTATTCGACCTTATAAAATGGGTTAGTCTAGTGGTTTGCATTCTTTTGACAGGTCATATATCAGTTGTTATTTTCCCTCAGAACATGTACGTTGGATAATATCAGTCACTGATCAAATGGGAAAAAGTTCTAAAAAGGACTCACATCATTTACTGCTCGGTTCATGGCAAAGTTTGAAAGGAGAACTCATAAATCCCGCCACAGGTGAACAACGACTAACAACAGCCTCCCTCAAACTCATAAGTCCTATAGTTAATTACGGCTAAAGCCGAACGCTTAACTCGGACTTGGGGGACATATGTATCATACCTAGGGTAGACCGAACGGTCAACATTCAGCACCGTTCGGTCCATCCACTCAAGGCTGTTGGGTTCATCCGCTACGATCCGTTGGGTCCATCCGCTATGGTTAACCGTGTCAAAGATTGGGCGTCAACTAGGTCAGCGCTTAAGCTATTATTGGGCCAATAGTCCAGCAGGCGATAAAATCAAAGAATATCTAATTAAAGATATTGATAAGCAGGTTATAAACAACCAACCGGATTTTCAGGTAATCTGTTTATATCTTATTCTGTTTATATTTTATTGGGCTTATAGCAGCTCAGGATCCATGAGATAAATTATAAATACAAAGCCAGAGCCGAAAGTCAGTTACGCTCTATTCACGCTCAATTCATACTCCAATATGTTTCACTCACACTCAATCCATTCTCAAATACTCAAATATAAAATTACACGCCTAACTTGGGCGTCAGTGTGTCTTTTGCAGGTACCTCCCTCCTCGTAAAAAAGGAGACCGATCGGTCTACACCAATACCGATAGGGCAACAACAGTAGATTGAAGGTGACCGAGCAATTTAGATTGAAGAAAGAAAGGCGATTCAGACGTTTGAAAACGGGAAAAACACGTCAACATGTTAGTCTCTGGGTCTCGGATATATTTGCAGAAACATTTGTCAAAAAATTAATTTTCTTTTCTCTACACCTTTTAAAAGACAATATTATATCTTTTAAAATAAGCAATATCTCATAAACATGAACATAACTATTCTTGCAGAATAAACCCTTAATCTTAAGCAACAACCATGTCGTTTTGATTTCGATTTTTAGTTGCATATCGCTTTCCCTTGTATGGTCGCACGTAAACTGAAGAATTGTTTTAATTAATTTTAGGTTTAATTATAATGAATTTCAAAAGTTGTTTCACATGTAAAATATTAATCTCGCACTTTATCGTGTGAATAACTGAATCTCGATAGTCAAAAGGATGCGACTTGAATGGTCTGAATATTTGCACTTAGAAAGCTACAATAATGAATTAGATTGATATGATCATCAGTCGTTTTTGCACTGTGTTAGCAAATTTAGACCAAAATAAGCCCATTCATTCCAAAATCATAAAGCAAAAGAAAAATGTAAATCATTCCATAAAAAACCAAAACAATTTATTTTAAAACAAAATTTTATCTCCTTTTGCTAAACCAAATGCTGTTTGGGAGTTAAAGGAACATTATGGAAATTACCTAAATATGGTAATGGGTCATAATTATTGCAATAAATAATTAATGATGTATCTTGGTCTACAGTGATGAGTCACGAGCCCCAATAAAAGGCCATTCCCATTTTCATAACAGAAATTGCAATCATTAGGCGCAAGCCACAACACTTGTTGCTCCTAAAATGTACCCCTTTTTTTTTATTTAAAATCTTTTTCAAGTTAATTAATTCTTTATATAAGAGATTTTTATTGTAATAATGGAATTCACAATTCAGAATATTAATTATAAAAAAGAGTTTAATGTTTTAATTATCTAAGGTTGAGTGTAGTTGAATGAGTGCATAAAGGTTGGAATTTCCATTCGAAAAAAAACATCCTTAGTTTATGATTATGTATATTAAAACAACATTGAACTTTTAATCATTTAAAAATAAAGATGAATTTGTAGTATGTCGTTTTTAAAATTGTTTCGTATCACCGAGAAGTTAAAACGTGTGAAAATAGAAAAATAATCACATTGTTACTATTTTATTAATAGGTAGTTTGGGTTATTTGTAATATGACTGAAATTTGTGATATAAGATTTTTCTTACCCGTAAATATTTCTGATCATTATCACACTCATTTAACTCATTTATAAAAAAAAATATTTAATTTACAATTTATAACTCTTTCTAAATAAAATATCCACACACAGCTCAAATACTGGTTAGTTTATTAAAAAAGAGTTTAATTATTTCAATATCCAAGTTTATGCAGTAGAAATGACAACAATTCAGTTTTAACATGTTTTGTTAATTTATTTTTCATTATCAATCCAAATTTATTAAAAAACAGTGCAATTTGGCGACCTCTACTTCAAACATATACCAATTATTCAAAAGAGCTGCTCCATTAATTTTTGTATGGGCTAAGAGTTTAAGGCCCACTCTATTACAGACTTTAGGGTCTTTTCCTTCCTGCACCCTCACAATTTCTTTGCGCACTCCTTCACATTTTCAAAACAATTATTTTATTTTCTGAAAAAATAATTTCAAGATTATATGTTTTGAAACTCTTCGGAACGAGGTTTTTAGAATTTTCAGTTTAAACTTTCTGGAATGGTTGAAGTATATTTCGCAATAAGCTTTTCATAATGTGTTATATGCATTCTGAAAAAGGCTTTTTGGAATGAATTTGTTTCTCCATTTTCTTTCTTCTTCCCTTAGAACGTGCTTCCACTCTTCTTCTTCCTTTGTAATAGCGGTAATGATGACAGTCGCGGTGACAAAAATAGTAATAAAGGGTATTTGAATTATTTTTTTCCCCTCATATTTTGAAGTTACAATTAATAATTGTAGGTGCAGAAAGCAATAGTCCTTTCAGGTCGACATTTTCGGCCCATATACTATGGTTAATTAGTGTTTGCTTTTGTTGTCCATGAGATAATCAGAAATAATACATAACATAAAAAGTTAGATACCACTTGTTAGTCTATACTTTATTTATTTACTAGCTGCAAAATTTCCTGTTAAAAATAAAATATTTTTGATATTTTTAATTTTAAAACAACTGTTTTATATTAATTATACAATTTTAAAGACACAGGGAAATGGTTAGAATTTTTAAATTTATTATATTAATTTTTAACTATTATTATACACTTTTTTTATATCTCTTTTATTCAAACCCTAACATATGTACTGCTATGATAAAAAAAATATTATAGAACATTAAATTTAACTTAATAAATTAAAAAATTACAGTAAATAAAAAATGTGGTTAGACAGAGACAGCTCAGCATTTAGATTTTCTGGAGATAAGTAGGGGTATTGATAAAAATTAATAATTATGATTCTTTAGTAATTAAATTCTAACTTTAACTAGGATAATGTCAATTCTTTAGTATTTTATAAGAGTTATTGTTTCAAGAAAAACACCATAAAAGAATCCATGAACAAAATCATATTCTTAATAAAGAGTGATTTAATCTCTTACGAAAAATATAAATTTACTAACAAGGATACAAGGAAAGAAATGAAGGAGTGTACTTAAATTAACAAAAGATAATATATGCAAGCTGAATTTTAGCTACACATATAAACTAACACAAACTCTGAGAATATTGAAAAAATTCCTCATTCATGTTTCTCTTTTCCATATCTTAAAACTATAAATGTATTATTATATCCTTAAAGGATTACCTCTAAACAAACATGAGAAGTTTAAGTAACTTTAAAAATTATTTATTTTATCCCTCAAAATAATTAAAACAATTACAATAATATTTTATTATTTATTTAATATATTCATTTATTTATTTAGGAAAATCAAATGTGATTATACAAATAAATTTGATAACATGCTTTTATTATTTTAGCTTAGCAGAGACATCTCTTGCTCCTGTGTATTTCTTTTCTGCAATGGAACAAGAGTTATGTGAGTGAAATATTTTATAGATTTGTTTTTGAATTTTAGTTTAAAAATATATTTAACATTCAGAAGTCATTCTCATGTGGTTGTTCTTAAGTTTTCATTACCAAATTGGACGTTTATCTAAAGTGATTTTCATGAATTTAAAAACAAATAGAAATAGATTTATAGTGGTCTAAAATAAAGTTTATGATATAAAATATAAAAAGGGGTTTGAATAATATCATAAAATTTTCTTTTACAAGAGACTAGACTAACTATAGGTATTCTTCGGACCAAAAGAAAGCATCATAAATCCTCGTAAATGAACATAATTTAATTCTCGAATCCGTTTGTGCTATTCTTCGTGAACAGAAAATTAGGTTCAAATAAACATAGCTTTAGTGCATTACTAATACACATGAGAACCATATTTATTTTATAAATTCAAATTTAAGCACTCATATACTAATTATATTTTCATTGACTAAATATTTTGTTATGCATATAATACTAAAGTTATGCATGCGTAATGAGGAACTTGGTAAAATGTTGGGCACATTTAACATGATAAGTTACATGCAAGTAAGTTTGGAACTAGTATAATATTTCCATATTCATGCATTTACAAAATGAAAAGAATTTGAAAAAAAATGATTTGAAATTGACCACTTATACACATCCTTATGTTATACATTATCAATTTAGTCCTCATAAAATGAAGGTAATGTTTATGCTAAATTTAAATTTTACTAGGACACTTATGTTGTGTGTTGATTCTAAAGAAAAGACTTATAATAAACAAATTATTTGTGAGTTCTTTTAAGCAGATTTATGAGTGAATGTAAATGACAATTTGAGAGTAGATATTATTTTTGCTGAAAAAAAGGTATTTGCGGATGAATACTGTAGAAAAGGATTGTTTTTTCAAAATTCTCTTTGCATATAATTTCACGTTTTAGGTGTTTTTTTCTTTTTCTGCTTTTCGATGGGTCATTGGTGATAGGGGATCATTTCCATGTGAGGGAACGATTTTGGAAGGGAGGGTGCAACTCCATTTGCCTGTGTGAGAGAACCGATTCTGTACAATTCCATAGATTTGCCTACATGAGGGAATCACTTTTCCACAACTCCATGGGTTACCGAGAAAGGTGAAGGGTGAAAGGTTTTTGCACCGGGATTCGATTGACGGGAAGAATCAATTTTACTTTAAGTAGAATCGATTTCCATTGACTACATTTTTTTTTAACTTTCTTGTGTGTTGCACATGTGCGTTCGTTATGCATAATGATGGTGTTGCATGTTTATTGGTTAGCCTTTTGTGCTCTCAGATTATATATACATCCTTTTCCTAAATTAAATGATTAAAGTTTAATATAATATATACAAAAAGCCATTTATAAAAGCAAGCATAAACTAAAGGCATCATAAAGGAATTCACAACAATATCTAATCACAAATATTTAACATTTATTTTTATATCAAGTACATTGTATTTTTTATTTATTACACCTATTATTTTTTTTAAAACTATTCATCAATATTTTTAAATTAATTTAAACTAATCAAATTTTTATTTATTACTTTTAATAATAAAAGTATTTTTGTAATTTTCTATTTTTATCTATTATCATTGTCAATAAAATTGTCCCAAATAAAAATAATTAGCCAAAAACAAAAAAGATAACTTCACCAATATATTATTACAAAAGTTACCCCAACCAAAAATAATTTTCTAATATCAAATGAAAAAATTGTGTTTGACAAAAAAATAAAAACAGACATTAACAAAATCACTAGCAGAAATCTTGACTAACAGAAAAACAACATTAAGATATATATACAACAAAAAACTTTAATAATAACAACAAAAAACTTTAATAATAACAACAAAAACATAATCACTGTGAGTTTTAAGATAAGAGAAATCCGTCAGCATTAATCAAAGAAACAAAATATCGTCGTCAACTTGATCATGATTTATGGACCAGTCCTATTTCATTTTTGAAAAAAATCCCATTTTAGAAAAGTGGAGATAAAACAAAAAGTCCCAACTCTCATAATCTTCTCTCAAGTTAGAGGTGCAAAAAGAAACTGCAGAGGTGCAGGGACAACCACTCCACACTTATATTCTCTCACATGACATTTAAGAATATTAGCAAAAGAATTGTTATTCTTGTGAGTGTTTCTTTCATTATTAGGTCACTACAAGTAGCACCATTGGAGTTTGTGACATGTTAAAATTTGCTTACACTAACTAGCAAAGGAAAAATCTCGATGTGTTTTCACTTTTCAACTAATACTGCAATTCATCCCAATCTCCCGTGATTCCGTAATCATGTAATAGCAGACACCACTTTTCATTGCACTGTCAGCACAAACACCACTACTCTTTGTTTCTCTACCTTTCTCTTATCACTTATCAGCAGTTTTAATCCATGAACGAATTGAATACACATTCCCCAGATGATCAGGCAGTGCTCAAAGCTCACCTAGCATTTGTTTTCTTCCATTTTATTGTATTTTATTGTGCTTTAGAGATTTAGAAGAGATGCCTTTTGCATCAGCCTTATCAATGGTGACTGTGCAATCACTCTATTTCTCTCTCTTGTGTGCTTTGCTTTTGGCTGGAGACCTAGTCATACAAACCTTTTGATTACGTCGAAACTTGAAAGGAGAGATGGCAGATTAAGATTAAGACTATGCTATGCCACATGGGTTGTCCCACCCATGTTGTCTAAATATTGAAAAATTGAACAAGGTTGCATATCACTGGTACATAGCATATACTTTATGTGAAAAAGAAATGTCCAAAACCAGCAACCAAAATAAACTTTTTTGGTCCTACTCAGCTCATAGCAGTTTCATCTTCTACTGTTATCCATCCCTAGTGGTTTTTGCTACCCGACGAAGAATGATTTTGGTAAAAATACACCCCGCACCATCTTTTAATCCTTAATATCAAAAGCTCACAGTAATCCATATTTGATCTCATCCGAATTAAAGCAAAACCATTTTCTTTTGTTACCTCTTTTGTCTCTCTTTTTCTTGCTACCCTCAAAACATTACTTTCATAATTTGTAAAAGTGATCCAAAATAATGTGTATGGGTTTTGTTTTGTTGCAAAGTTGAGTCTTGCATGCAGCATGGTTTTTTCTTGCCAAATTTTCCATGCCAGAATATAATATCCACTGCCCCCAACACGTGGTTTTGTGAAATACGGAATCAAATATCACAAGCCCTTACCGAAGAACATGTGCATAAATCACATTCTAAATTGAAGGGTATGGTGTCCTAGCTTTGGCCATGCACATTCATGTAATGGATTTGGTAAAGATATAGATTCTCCACACTGTTATCAGACCCAAAGATTTCCAACTCAATTCTTCGAGACAAAGTAACATAGTCCAATTTACTATGATATCTTTTTCTTTTTTATCATAACAACATGGTCGTCCTTCTTTTTTGACACCTTTTTCTCCCCTTCTCACTCATCACCTTTATCTTCAACACCCCCCCGCCTCTCTGGGCTTTTATTCTCATTGACATACTTACATGTCTTTAAAGCACTGGTGCTGCATGAATCACACTGAAATCCTAACCAGATCGTTCTTCCACTTTCCAGTTACACTCTCTGATAATGGCCAAGGAAGCTTCTCTGTGCCTCTTGTTTCTCTTCTTGCTCATTATCTCCTGTTCTGGTGAGTAACCGACACTGATATATAATATCTCAGAATAGTAATCGTATTTATTCCTGTAAGTATTCATGGCACAAATCCAAAATTAGCCGTTTCTCCTTTGCTTTATAACTGCTTTCTGAATCTGCAACACTTAGTGATTATATTCATTCCAATACGTTGGATTTTTTGGCTTTTGTTTTTGGAGTGCTCCACTTTGCTCTTGTTGTAAAATCAGTGGAGGGAGCTCAAGTTCAAGTGAAAATAAATTGGACTTTTTCATAATATCTTGATTCTGTTGTTTCACTCTTTGCAGGATCTCTGGTGGGTTTTTCCTACCGTGAGAGGGGAGACACTTCAACATCTGCTAAAATCATATCGCTCCTCCAGCAGAAGAACGTTTCCATGTCTCAGATTCGAATTTTTGTTACAGATCATAGGATTTTGAGCAGTCTCAGCAATTCCATCGTGCCAACTGATTTGTACTTGAACAGAAGTCAAGTTCAAAGTTTAATTACTTCAAAACCCTCCAAACTAAAAGCCCGTCTGCTTAACTTTCTCCCACATTCACACATCAAAAGCATCATTGCTAGCTGTGGCAGTGAGTGCTTAGCACAAAATGAGATGTCTTTGTTCTCACGTGCTTTGAAATCAATTAGTTCAGTTCTCAGAGAGCTTCATATAGGGAGGGAGGTAAAAATCTCAGTAGCATTTCCACTTTCATACTTAGAAAAGTTGAACACATCGCATGAAAATAGTATTCGCAGAATTCTTTCATTCATAAGGGAAATGAAATCCTTTGTCATGGTAGAAGACAGCATTGATGGAGAATTAAGCATGGAGAGTCACTTTGATCAGGCTATAATCAAACGAGCCACTCTTGCTGCTTCCATTCTTCCTTGCAAAGATGTTCCTATTGTTTTAACAATGAAGAGCATAGTTGCCTCCACTTCAATGGAGTTAGTTCAATTCAGTGAGAGGGTATCCAAATATCTAGAAGCAAAAGCTCATATTACTAAAAGAATAGCTGCATTATATGCAGAGGTTCATATAACAGAAGATTTAGCAAGTAAAGAACTCAAAAGGGAAGAGGAAGAACTGTTTCCTGTCTCCCGCAGAGACATGCTAAGTGAATCCCACAAAAGGAGAAGTCTAGATGATACAACCAGTCCAACAAACGTAGTTTTCCCCACAAATCCAGCATCATCCACTCCAATAATCACACCCCCAGATACACCAACCATCATCACAGTTCCTGCCACAAATCCTGTCACAATTTCCCCTTCCAATCCTGCTGGAGTGCCTGTCACAGTTCCTTCTACCACACCTGTGACTTTTCCTCCCACAAATCCAGCCAATACACCAGTACCAGTGAGCAATCCGGCTACAACAACTCCTGTAGGGATACCACCCCCAACAACCAACCCTGTGACTTCTCCACCTTCATCAGGAAATGTTCCTGTCACAAATCCCCAACCTCAACCACCTCCTGCAAACACTAATGCTCCCGCCATTCAGGGGCAGAGTTGGTGTGTGGCAAAGCAAGGAGCTCCTGAAGCTTCTCTTCAAGCAGCACTAGACTATGCTTGTGGAATGGGTGGGTCAGATTGTTCTCAAATTCAGCAGGGTGGGAATTGTTACAGTCCAGTTACATTGCAGAACCATGCCTCTTTTGCCTTCAACAGCTACTATCAAAAGAATCCAGCTCCAACAAGCTGTGACTTTGGAGGGACTGCCACCTTAGTTAACACAAATCCAAGTAAGATCTTAATTTCTTAATAGTTTTAGCAACCCTTTTTCTTATTATTCCAAGATCCTTTTGGAAGACCACATAGAAATTTATCCAGACAGAAACCTAGTCTTATCTCGTAACGAAATCATTTACTCTAGTATTTGAGAGAGCTTATGAAATGTATATAGATATTTCCATATTACTTCAATAAGCTCTTCTGAACTGTGAATAGGTTCGGGTTCATGCGTTTTCCTATCCTCGTCGTCATCAACAACAGCAACTCCAAAGTCATCACCCCCAACACCACCTACACAATCAAGTCCAACACTACTACCACCACCAAGTCCAGTAACACCTACATCAATTCCAACAGCACCACCAACAACATCAGTAACAGGCCCATTTGGGTAAGGGAGATAGCACGTTTTTCATGGTTTCAATAACTCTAATGCTCCATTAAGCGTACTAGTAATGGTCCTTTATAACACTCCCCTTTTGCAGGTATGGCACCCCACCTTCAGTGTTAAATTCAAGCAACCCCGCGTCAGGTACAATGCCAGATTTTGGATATGAAAGCCCTCCTGTTGTAAATACAACATCAGCCTCGCATTCTATGAGCTTGAGACCTTCTGCTGGCTGCATTCTTCTGATGGTATCATTTGTCACTATGAGACTTGCTATGCATCCATAGATTTCAAAACAAGACTTCAATCAGGATCATAGAATGAAATGCTCAATAGTATCTCTAGCTGTTCGTTGGAGTTGTAATGTAGCATTCTATATTAGGCGCAGAAAGATGTTAGAGTAAGAACGGAACAAAATAAGGTTAAGTGATTATGAGTGATGTACTGAATTTAGCTTAGGTGAGGGAAATTTTAATAGGGAAATAATTGCTGCTTTATGGTATCTAGGTTGTACAACAAACTATAAGTAATATTGGTCATGTACATAGTTTTTAAAAGCTTGTAGTTCTTTTCATAGTATGCAGTTTGTAGTCCTGTGTAAATTGCTCTGAGTTGTTTTTGAAATTGGTCTTCGTAAATGGGGGATTGTTATTCATTTAAAGACTCCCATTTCAAATTTAACGAAGACAGTCAATTATTATTTATCTCTCCAACTATAATGCATTTTGATGTAGCTTGAATTTCCTTTCCAAAGTTTTTTGTTTGCTTTCTCGGGTTTCCATGCTTCACCCTTCTAAGTCGATTGCAAAAAATAGATAAATGAATGGTTCTTGTAATTTGTACCGCAAATCATGAAGACTATGATTATAAATCACAAGAGTAATGGTTAACACAAAAACTCTTCACTCAGCACTTCTTAGATATGTGTGGATGATTATATATGCAAATATGAGTAATTTTATTTTTTAAGTAATTCAGAATAAATAAAATTAATCATTTATATCACACAACTAGTCATTACTATACGTTTGTAAAATTACGATATAACTAACCTATAAAAAATTGCATATAAGTAAGTTCATATACTATTAACTACTAATGAGAAAAAGTTAATTACTATTTTTTAAACAAGGTAGCTCATTGATTTTTTTTATAGTAGTTGTTGAAGGTTTTTTTAAATTTAAAAATTGAACACATATCAGTTGTTGAAACATTTTACTAAACATACTGAATTGGAACTTTTGAAAATTTAAAAGTTTAAATTAGTTAAATTTCAAATTTATGATAAATTTAGGTATTCTTATTAAGTTTATTTGCTTTATTATTGAGTATTAAAAAACTTTATATTTTCAATTGAGTTTGTGTGCTTTAATTGACGTGATTGATACATTGTTATGTTACATTTCTTAATTGTCTTCATATTTTATTTTGTATTAATATTAAACCACATAACTTTGTAGTTAATGTAATTTGTGACTTTTATTGTTGGATAATGGTAAATGAAAACAAAGAAAAAAAAATAAAATGAAAACTTAAATACTATGTTGGGAACTATAGAATAAATGTGGGATTAGAGTTGCATGTGAACTTTATAAAATCAAGGTTGAAAATTGGAGGAGAGGTTGTCTTACATAAAACCAATAACTTAAATGGTGTGAAGTTATGGACATTTGGACAATAAAATACTCACAAAAAATTATGCATCTTAATCCAAGATAACACATCGGTCGATGTAAATGACAACTTTGATTTTCGAATAAACATAATAATCAAAGAAGGTTATCTAGTGACAAAAAAAAAATCTTTAATCGAACTTTAACCACCATCGTATTTAGATTTTTATTTTACTTTTTTCTTTCTTTCTGTTTATGCTCATCTAACAATAAAAGTCACGTGCTAGGTTAACTACAAAACTATACCACTAAATATTAAGGTAAATAGATATAGAAAGACAACTAAAAAGATAACAAGATAATTAAAAAAATTAAACTTGGAATAAACTTTAATACTTAATAAACTAAAATAGTTTAATAGAGACTTAATTAAAAATATCCAAATTTATCGATAACTTAAAACTTACTAAGTCAATTAAAATATTAAATAACATTTTTAATTTTTTATATAATATTTTGAACAATGTTAAACAAATAAAAATATCATAATATTTGAAACATGATTTATTAACTAATTAAAACCTTAAATTGAACCCCAAAGAAAGAATTATAAAATAAAGGGTTAAATATGTTTTTAGTCCCTAAACTATTGACCGTTTTTGGTTTTCGTCCCTCTTCCAAAGTAAGGTACAATTTAGTCCTCAATCTTTAAAAAACGTTCGTTTTAGTCGAAAAAACGAACGTTTTGAGGACTAAAACGAACGTTTTTCTAAAGAATGAGGACCAGATTGTACCTTACTTTTGGAAGAGGGACGAAAACCAGAAACGGCCAATAGTTTAGGGACTAAAAACATATTTAACCCTAAAATAAAATATTATGCAACTCTATGTTATTATTGTTACGCCATATTTTAACGTAATATTTATAAACTACACAGTTATTTTATATATAAAAAAAAGTTAATTATACTGACCAACATATACATTCAAATCAATTATCATATTTTTACCCATTTATAAGGTTTCATTACAATGTAAATTACAAATAAACTTACAAACTATTATGTATTAAGGAAAAAAATAAACTAAATGGTTTGGAAATAACTTACACCGAAAGCACAGATTCAACTTGAACCGCAAATGAAAATTAAGCCAGCAATTAAGTCATAGACATCTAAGAGCAAGAATGCCTTGGATACCAATTCTAACGTTGAAGAAAATAATGAGTAAACAACAAAACAGCAATCAGGCAAATCTTACAAATGCATTGACTTTTAAACCGACGCATGTGAGCCACTTTTCTAATATCCAAAGCAGAGTAGACATTTGCCAGCAGGGCAATACCTAAAGCGCATTATTAAGTTGCTTTTTTACATAATTTTCTTTTCTATAGAAATGAGTGTGAACCACCATCAGCATGGTAACATTATGATCACGTTAAAAGAACCATCACATCACTTTCTTTTCTGAGAAATGCATGAACTAAGCTCAACTAGCACAACAAATAATAGTAATGGCGCCATAAATAAATGAGAAAACGCAACTACTGTCTGCGATGTATTTTCTGGATCACTGGAAAATTTGTGATGCTAATGCTACATGTACATACTGCACAAGCTAAAGCTAAAACTAGTTTATCTATAAAACTGCATTGCTACATCCCAAAAAGGCTTCTACAAGTTCTCTAGTCTGCTAAAGTATATAGGTAACTCTATACACAAGAATTTTTTTGGATTCAACGCCTTGAAAATACCACCAAGACCAACATGGACATAGAGACCACGATTTTGAATCCAGACGTGTCCCAGAAATTCTGATTATGCTTATCTGTACCCACAATTTCTCTTTGTTGCTTTGCCGCTAATTGATCTCTCAGTTCTTTAATAGCTTTGTCCCGTCGATCACCCATCTGTTCACAAACCCATAAAATGAAACATGAGATTTGAACAGAACATTAGCTCATGAAAAGTCGTGAATAATGGTTCGTTAGTATATAAAAAATCATATCTCCTTCGATATCACGTTTCGCTCTTTCATTGTTCAGTGCAAGTTCCTGTTTTATTGTACAAAACAAGAACAGTATGTATCTCTAGAAGCAGAAGTGCATGCCTGGGTATTTCTTTTTGTAGGAACACCTTTTCTCAGTAAATAAGCAATTATTTCTTCAATAAGTTGAGACAAACACACTTTGCGCAATAGATAAATTTACCCTTTGGAGTTTTCGTGTTTGGGAACGAGCTTCCTGTAGACAGAATTCCAGCTTCAACACCTTCTTCTTCAGCTCCTGATCAGTACGCCGCTGTTTCTCCAACTGTAAGTTAAAAACACATCAATGCCATTAAATACATCAGCCAAGCACCTCAAGAAAGACTAGTATCAGAGTGCGTACTCTAATAACAAGGAAACACTGAACAAATTAATGAGTATCTATCACACCGGAAAAAACAAGATAGTTGTTACCTGTGACTCTAATTCCTTAGTCTTTAGCTTCCAGTGAGCGGACATGATCTTAATTTCATCCTTTAGTTTTGTTATTTCTTCGTCCTTAACAACAAGAAGCTTATTCATCTTCTCAAAATTTTTAGGAGAAACCTCATCTAAGATTTTCCGCAGTTCACAGTTCTTGTTCTCTCCGGCTTTTGCAAGAGCCTCCATAATATCGTGCTCAATTCTCAAAACTTCATCTTTCAATTGCTTTTGTGAAGATTCTCTTGCCTGAAGATCCTTCTGTAAATTGTCCAGTTGCTCCCCTAACCTTAGGACACGAGCCTCGTGCTCTCTCAGTGAACCATTTTTCTCATCTAGTTCTTTTACAAGTTCTGAACATTGAAGCTGCGCTGATTGAGCTGATGCAGCGCTTGCATCAGCAGTTTTCCTCGTTGCTACAAGCTGTGATCTAAGGTCATCCAACTGCTTCAGATACTGTATCATGATTACATATATGCTGTGAGTAAATGATACTCAGGCTACTATCCAGAATGGTTTCACTTTCAAATTTATGCAGATAAAAAATCACTCATAATCTATGGATTTTGGAATATATTTATCAAACAGCACACAAGCTTGTAAAGTAATCAGAGACATGAGATAAACTTTTAAGATATATAAAAAGGGTGTATGATAGCAGTCAAAAAATGAGTGCCAACAATGAAGTTACTTAGCATCTTAATGTTCAGTGATTCGTTAGAGAATACACCGGAGGTTCAGGCATAATCAATATGTAGTGCTTTTCTTGTTGTCCATGATAACTGCTTTTCATGTGATTTATTATAAGAGTTTTCTACAAGGTTGTTTTTTATGAAGTCTGGGTTGGGTTGAACTACCTGGAAGAATACTTGGGTTGGGTTCATCTGTAGAGATTGAAAAAACCATGTACAAAATTCTTAAACTCTATTGCGCTTACAACACACTCTAGAAGTAAAAGTTCTCTGACTGATCTATAGTTAGGTAATTGCAATTTATTTTATGTAACAACAGTGATACCGAACGATCCAATTAAGAAAAATACAAGTTTAAGGCTACAACTAAAAATAAATAAAGACCTAACTAAAATTTTCAAATAATTTAGGAAGTTACGGAGTAATTAATTTATATAAAATGAGATGCTGATCTACACCAATCGTGATTTATGCCAAATGTTCACGATAAATCATAAAAATTGTTGCCATTACTAGTTAGAGAAGTGATTATGGCTAATTTTCACTCAAATCAAGGTAAAAACATGCATCTTACTGCAGAAAAAATGTGGCATGAAAAATATTGAAGAACAATCCACGGCAGAAAGGGGCTATAATAATAATAATAATAATAGTTCGGTGGGATAGGCTAAAACGAAAGAAGTCAACCAGTACAAAAATCCTAAGAGATGGGCATAGATGTGTATACTGTTTGATGAGGAAAATATTAAATCTAGCAAAATTAACACCAATTCAGCCATAAAGGCAAGCAAATGACACAATTAACGAATGGTGAAAATATTTAAAGAAAATAAGCAAAAGATAACAATCCTAATCAGACCACTAAATAAGATCAAAAGATATGCTACTAAATAATGGTAAATAATAATAATGAAAGGTAAACTCTAGAGAAAGTGTAAAAACCTTCTCAGTAGAGAAAGCTGAAGCCTGAAGCTCCTGGTCTTTTTGTTCCAAATTCTTCTGCAACCTGCCAATTTCCAATTCCATATTCTTGGCATTTGTCTCTGCTTCCTGTGAAAGAAAATCTATTAAAAAATAGCTGGACCGGAAAAAAATTCAATGATTTCTCCCGGACCCCACGACCCCAGATACTAAAAAAAGAGTAAAAATAATTGACATCAAAGTTCTAATTTTTCTAGCAAGGCCAAAAAGAGAAAGAAAAAAAACAAGAAAGAAATGGTTATACTGAAGATAAGTAAAAAGACAGAGGAAACAATCCAAAAAGACAAATCTAGTACCTGTCTTGTTAGAGTTTCTCTGGCATATGATTGTTCCTGCGACGAAAGACGACTACGAAGCTCCTTCAACTCCGCCGCTAACGACACCACGTTGCGTCTAAAACTCTGTTTCTTTTCATTCAAATCCTGCAACGACGGATCAACTTCTCGAGCAGCTATAGTTGGTGTCGACGATGAAGATTGTTTCCCAGACATGGAAGCTCGATATTTTTAACGTTTCCGGCAAAGAAAGTGTGCTACCTTTATGTCCCAAATCAGATCCTATGGACCAGGGACAAGCACTTCACGGCCCTTGAAATGAAAGCAATTAAAACTTCATTCCTCCATGTGAACACGGTAGTTGAAAGTTTAATTTAATAAGAACCATACACAAGGAAGAAAAGAAAATAAATGAAGTAGGTCAATAAATAAAAATAAACACTAATAAAAAGTGGCTTAGAAAGCACTGGATCTTCTTTTCACGAAAAGGTTACAAGATTCAAATTCAATGCAATGCTCTAAAACTTGGTTCAAGTGAAATTTGGATAAATTTGTTTTTTCTGACAGTGGTTGCACCAGGCATCTCCTCTCTCCATAATTGAGAGGAGAGAGAGAGAAGAAGAAGCATTGACCCGCCATGGGTCTATCTGTCCTTGTCCAAAAAATAATAATTGTAATAATAATAAATAGGATCAGGGAAGAGACGTGATCGAAATTAATTGTTGTGTCTGCTGCTCCTAACAAAGTTTCACAATAATTTGAATCAAATCCTATCAGCATCATATCAAATTAAACAGCAGCTCTCGGCACAAAGAGAGATTTAACTAACTGGTGTACTGAAGAAGAAAACACGAATATAGCACACATACCAGATTCTGAGTTGAACCTTTGGTCTGCTTCTGCCGAAACTGTATCTGGTTCTGATTTGGGACGAAATAGTAAAAGCTGGAGAAATAGAAGGAGGAGGTGAAATAACTTGAGTAACGATTCGAGTAATGGAATCAAAGAGTCACGTCGCAACTTCACTACTTTTATATTTTAATAATATTTTTAAATTGTTTCTTGTCTCATCTGCGAGTAATAGTTGGCTGGGTTTTCGCGACATGTCTCAGTCTTACTCATGAAAACATCTTAGGATCGGATTTGGATTTTTTATTATTATTATATGTAAATGTAAATAAATAAAACGAATTGGGAAAAAGAGGGCCAACGAGGAAAAAATCAGGTTATTCAATTAATCTTACAAATAAAAAAGTATAGGAATGATAATATCAATGAATTTGGTCAATCAAATAACTTATTGCTGAGAAATATTTACAGTATTATATTAGATTAAGTATTTTTAATTGCCATATGAAATATTTCCTATGAGTGGAGTTATTGGAGTTAACATTTTGAGTAATTTGTATGAGTTTAAATTTTACTGTTTGTATGATATACAAAAATTCTTATTTTCATGTTTATTAATTGATAGGTTACAAAATATTAAAGGATGTATTAAATANTAGAGTAAGAACGGAACAAAATAAGGTTAAGTGATTATGAGTGATGTACTGAATTTAGCTTAGGTGAGGGAAATTTTAATAGGGAAATAATTGCTGCTTTATGGTATCTAGGTTGTACAACAAACTATAAGTAATATTGGTCATGTACATAGTTTTTAAAAGCTTGTAGTTCTTTTCATAGTATGCAGTTTGTAGTCCTGTGTAAATTGCTCTGAGTTGTTTTTGAAATTGGTCTTCGTAAATGGGGGATTGTTATTCATTTAAAGACTCCCATTTCAAATTTAACGAAGACAGTCAATTATTATTTATCTCTCCAACTATAATGCATTTTGATGTAGCTTGAATTTCCTTTCCAAAGTTTTTTGTTTGCTTTCTCGGGTTTCCATGCTTCACCCTTCTAAGTCGATTGCAAAAAATAGATAAATGAATGGTTCTTGTAATTTGTACCGCAAATCATGAAGACTATGATTATAAATCACAAGAGTAATGGTTAACACAAAAACTCTTCACTCAGCACTTCTTAGATATGTGTGGATGATTATATATGCAAATATGAGTAATTTTATTTTTTAAGTAATTCAGAATAAATAAAATTAATCATTTATATCACACAACTAGTCATTACTATACGTTTGTAAAATTACGATATAACTAACCTATAAAAAATTGCATATAAGTAAGTTCATATACTATTAACTACTAATGAGAAAAAGTTAATTACTATTTTTTAAACAAGGTAGCTCATTGATTTTTTTTATAGTAGTTGTTGAAGGTTTTTTTAAATTTAAAAATTGAACACATATCAGTTGTTGAAACATTTTACTAAACATACTGAATTGGAACTTTTGAAAATTTAAAAGTTTAAATTAGTTAAATTTCAAATTTATGATAAATTTAGGTATTCTTATTAAGTTTATTTGCTTTATTATTGAGTATTAAAAAACTTTATATTTTCAATTGAGTTTGTGTGCTTTAATTGACGTGATTGATACATTGTTATGTTACATTTCTTAATTGTCTTCATATTTTATTTTGTATTAATATTAAACCACATAACTTTGTAGTTAATGTAATTTGTGACTTTTATTGTTGGATAATGGTAAATGAAAACAAAGAAAAAAAAATAAAATGAAAACTTAAATACTATGTTGGGAACTATAGAATAAATGTGGGATTAGAGTTGCATGTGAACTTTATAAAATCAAGGTTGAAAATTGGAGGAGAGGTTGTCTTACATAAAACCAATAACTTAAAGGGTGCGAAGTTATGGACATTTGGACAATAAAATACTCACAAAAAATTATGCATCTTAATCCAAGATAACACATCGGTCGATGTAAATGACAACTTTGATTTTCGAATAAACATAATAATCAAAGAAGGTTATCTAGTGACAAAAAAAAAATCTTTAATCGAACTTTAACCACCATCGTATTTAGATTTTTATTTTACTTTTTTCTTTCTTTCTGTTCATGCTCATCTAACAATAAAAGTCACGTGCTAGGTTAACTACAAAACTAAACCACTAAATATTGAGGTAAATAGATATAGAAAGACAACTAAAAAGATAACAAGATAATTAAAAAAATTAAACTTGGAATAAACTTTAATACTTAATAAACTAAAATAGTTTAATAGAGACTTAATTAAAAATATCCAAATTTATCGTTAACTTAAAACTTACTAAGTCAATTAAAATATTAAATAACATTTTTAATTTTTTATATAATATTTTGAACAATGTTAAACAAATAAAAATATCATAATATTTGAAACATGATTTATTAACTAATTAAAACCTTAAATTGAACCCCAAAGAAAGAATTATAAAATAAAGGGTTAAATATGTTTTTAGTCCCTAAACTATTGACCGTTTTTGGTTTTCGTCCCTCTTCCAAAGTAAGGTACAATTTAGTCCTCAATCTTTAAAAAACGTTCGTTTTAGTCGAAAAAACGAACGTTTTGAGGACTAAAACGAACGTTTTTCTAAAGAATGAGGACCAGATTGTACCTTACTTTTGGAAGAGGGACGAAAACCAGAAACGGCCAATAGTTTAGGGACTAAAAACATATTTAACCCTAAAATAAAATATTATGCAACTCTATGTTATTATTGTTACGCCATATTTTAACGTAATATTTATAAACTACACAGTTATTTTATATATAAAAAAAAGTTAATTATACTGACCAACATATACATTCAAATCAATTATCATATTTTTACCCATTTATAAGGTTTCATTACAATGTAAATTACAAATAAACTTACAAACTATTATGTATTAAGGAAAAAAATAAACTAAATGGTTTGGAAATAACTTACACCGAAAGCACAGATTCAACTTGAACCGCAAATGAAAATTAAGCCAGCAATTAAGTCATAGACATCTAAGAGCAAGAATGCCTTGGATACCAATTCTAACGTTGAAGAAAATAATGAGTAAACAACAAAACAGCAATCAGGCAAATCTTACAAATGCATTGACTTTTAAACCGACGCATGTGAGCCACTTTTCTAATATCCAAAGCAGAGTAGACATTTGCCAGCAGGGCAATACCTAAAGCGCATTATTAAGTTGCTTTTTTACATAATTTTCTTTTCTATAGAAATGAGTGTGAACCACCATCAGCATGGTAACATTATGATCACGTTAAAAGAACCATCACATCACTTTCTTTTCTGAGAAATGCATGAACTAAGCTCAACTAGCACAACAAATAATAGTAATGGCGCCATAAATAAATGAGAAAACGCAACTACTGTCTGCGATGTATTTTCTGGATCACTGGAAAATTTGTGATGCTAATGCTACATGTACATACTGCACAAGCTAAAGCTAAAACTAGTTTATCTATAAAACTGCATTGCTACATCCCAAAAAGGCTTCTACAAGTTCTCTAGTCTGCTAAAGTATATAGGTAACTCTATACACAAGAATTTTTTTGGATTCAACGCCTTGAAAATACCACCAAGACCAACATGGACATAGAGACCACGATTTTGAATCCAGACGTGTCCCAGAAATTCTGATTATGCTTATCTGTACCCACAATTTCTCTTTGTTGCTTTGCCGCTAATTGATCTCTCAGTTCTTTAATAGCTTTGTCCCGTCGATCACCCATCTGTTCACAAACCCATAAAATGAAACATGAGATTTGAACAGAACATTAGCTCATGAAAAGTCGTGAATAATGGTTCGTTAGTATATAAAAAATCATATCTCCTTCGATATCACGTTTCGCTCTTCCATTGTTCAGTGCAAGTTCCTGTTTTATTGTACAAAACAAGAACAGTATGTATCTCTAGAAGCAGAAGTGCATGCCTGGGTATTTCTTTTTGTAGGAACACCTTTTCTCAGTAAATAAGCAATTATTTCTTCAATAAGTTGAGACAAACACACTTTGCGCAATAGATAAATTTACCCTTTGGAGTTTTCGTGTTTGGGAACGAGCTTCCTGTAGACAGAATTCCAGCTTCAACACCTTCTTCTTCAGCTCCTGATCAGTACGCCGCTGTTTCTCCAACTGTAAGTTAAAAACACATCAATGCCATTAAATACATCAGCCAAGCACCTCAAGAAAGACTAGTATCAGAGTGCGTACTCTAATAACAAGGAAACACTGAACAAATTAATGAGTATCTATCACACCGGAAAAAACAAGATAGTTGTTACCTGTGACTCTAATTCCTTAGTCTTCAGCTTCCAGTGAGCGGACATGATCTTAATTTCATCCTTTAGTTTTGTTATTTCTTCGTCCTTAACAACAAGAAGCTTATTCATCTTCTCAAAATTTTTAGGAGAAACCTCATCTAAGATTTTCCGCAGTTCACAGTTCTTGTTCTCTCCGGCTTTTGCAAGAGCCTCCATAATATCGTGCTCAATTCTCAAAACTTCATCTTTCAATTGCTTTTGTGAAGATTCTCTTGCCTGAAGATCCTTCTGTAAATTGTCCAGTTGCTCCCCTAACCTTAGGACACGAGCCTCGTGCTCTCTCAGTGAACCATTTTTCTCATCTAGTTCTTTTACAAGTTCTGAACATTGAAGCTGCGCTGATTGAGCTGATGCAGCGCTTGCATCAGCAGTTTTCCTCGTTGCTACAAGCTGTGATCTAAGGTCATCCAACTGCTTCAGATACTGTATCATGATTACATATATGCTGTGAGTAAATGATACTCAGGCTACTATCCAGAATGGTTTCACTTTCAAATTTATGCAGATAAAAAATCACTCATAATCTATGGATTTTGGAATATATTTATCAAACAGCACACAAGCTTGTAAAGTAATCAGAGACATGAGATAAACTTTTAAGATATATAAAAAGGGTGTATGATAGCAGTCAAAAAATGAGTGCCAACAATGAAGTTACTTAGCATCTTAATGTTCAGTGATTCGTTAGAGAATACACCGGAGGTTCAGGCATAATCAATATGTAGTGCTTTTCCTGTTGTCCATGATAACTGCTTTTCATGTGAGTTATTATAAGAGTTTTCTACAAGGTTGTTTTTTATGAAGTCTGGGTTGGGTTGAACTACCTGGAAGAATACTTGGGTTGGGTTCATCTGTAGAGATTGAAAAAACCATGTACAAAATTCTGAAACTCTATTGCGCTTACAACACACTCTAGAAGTAAAAGTTCTCTGACTGATCTATAGTTAGGTAATTGCAATTTATTTTATGTAACAACAGTGATACCGAACGATCCAATTAAGAAAAATACAAGTTTAAGGCTACAACTAAAAATAAATAAAGACCTAACTAAAATTTTCAAATAATTTAGGAAGTTACGGAGTAATTAATTTATATAAAATGAGATGCTGATCTACACCAATCGTGATTTATGCCAAATGTTCACGATAAATCATAAAAATTGTTGCCATTACTAGTTAGAGAAGTGATTATGGCTAATTTTCACTCAAATCAAGGTAAAAACATGCATCTTACTGCAGAAAAAATGTGGCATGAAAAATATTGAAGAACAATCCACGGCAGAAAGGGGCTATAATAATAATAATAATAATAGTTCGGTGGGATAGGCTAAAACGAAAGAAGTCAACCAGTACAAAAATCCTAAGAGATGGGCATAGATGTGTATACTGTTTGATGAGGAAAATATTAAATCTAGCAAAATTAACACCAATTCAGCCATAAAGGCAAGCAAATGACACAATTA